AGACAGATATATATATATATATATATATATATATATATATATATATATATAATCTCCAGAATCAGATGTATTTCTTTTCTATGTTCCTTAAACATTTAAGAGATTCATATATATTTTTATTAATTGAAAATAATTCTTATCACAAATGTATTCGTTGAGAGGGATATGAAATAAATGTCTGTTTAAAAATAAAATAAAAAAAAAATGAAATCAGTTCAAAAATGTAATGATAGCAATGAATTTATTCAATGAATAGAATGTTGATTAACTTCCTGGCTTATTTTTTTTAGTCTTTTCATATTATATTTATTTCTGCGGCTAAGAATAAGTCCAAATAATAATAATAATTAGCCCATAAAAATAAAGAACTTTCTATAATATAAGACCATTTGGCTTAACATCTTTTGTAACATTTTCAATGTGATCAAACATTATTATGAGAACCACTAAACTGAGTTTTTACACTTTTATTACTATAAAAACTTCCATTTAATGTAACATAATTATTAACCCGCTTGTCTTGAAACATAAACAAAATCATGTGCGAAAGAACAAAAAAACTATAAAACAGTGCATCCAAGGGGACAAAGGTGGGAGAGTGGGAGAGAGGCCCGGACGTGGGAGAGAGGCCCGGACGTGGGAGAGAGGCCCGGACGTGGGAGAGAGGCACGGACGTGGGAGAGAGGCCAGGAAGTGGGAGAGAGGCCCGGACGTGGGAGAGAGGCCCGGACGTGGGAGAGAGGCCCGGACGTGGGCGAAGAGCAGTCAGCAGACACAGGAATTTAAAAGACACAAAAAAAAATCGAGTTAGTTTTGTCAAGAAAACTTTTTTTCCGGACTCGACGCTGATTGAGTTTTGTGCCTGGCGACTAAAGGGGAGGTGGGTTTGGGAACTCTTGCATAGCTGTGAGCTGACTGCGGGCACAGTGTGGCCATGCCCACCGGTAGCGAAGACGAGGATTTGCTCCGCTGGATGGCCGCGTTAGCGTCGGTGATCGCCGAGGGGGTCAGAGTGGCCGGCCCCGAGCTGATGCTGCAGGGAGAGTCTGTCTGCACCACGTTATAGCGTAATCTACCCCTGCCCCTAGCGTCCCTGAAAGATGCAGATTTCCGGAGGAGACCCGGCTGATTTGTCCGGGTTTCAAGATTCGATGACTCGGCAACTAGGATTTCGTCCTCGCCGCAGAATGTTGGAGGTGATTTTAGATCACATTCTTTAGCCGTGCCGTACGGGTGCTGCGGAGATGTCTTGTCAAACGTCCCATAAGACAAAACGCCCTCGGCTGCGATCACCGTGCTGGGCGATCCCGTGAGCGTGGTCTTTGCTGATCTATCCGAGCTGATCGACGTGGTCCTTGAGGTGTTCATAGAACGGTCGCTCCCGAGTCGTTCACTGCCACAACACGAGACATTACTCGAGGGACTCATGCTCCGCGAGTCAGCTCGCTGCAGTGGTTTGAAGACGACCATCTCTTGTTTAAAACTGGATGGCCGAACGGGTTCGATGTTGGCTTTTGAAATTTTCAGAGTGGATTTACACGCGGCCTGAGAGTTTGGGGGAAATGATACACCGGAAGTGCTGTCGGGGCCTAGCCTGAATGAAATTCGCTGTGGGATTGATTTTTCGATGGGTTTTGATGAGGCAGCAGTTAAAGACGCATTTTTCGTTGTGGTTGGCGTGTTGAAAGAATGTCTTCTCTCCCTCTCTTCGAAATAATACTCTTGAGAGGGAACTGTCAAAAACCGACTCGGCGACTCGACGTTTATTGTAATTTTCGGCACTTTGGCATTCGGTGCGACAGATTCACCCCCTGAACTGGACACAGAGACTCGGACCACTGGATTAAATGAATGCCGTCTCTCGACGCGCCTATCGTCCTGAAAACCTTGACCATGGCACAGAGGCTCCTGGTTTTCAAAAGACTCCGTTTGATCCTCCAGCGACGACGTCGGCCGCCTCTCCGTGTACAGCTCCGCATCACAACCCGGCACGCGGAGAAATCTGGAGCTCTGTGGGGGAATGTGTGACGGGCGCCTCTCTGCACATTTGTCACCGTCGGGATTAAACGAAGCCCTGCGGCCGTCCTGCTGTGCGGCGTACTCGGGCTTCAGCGTATTGTTCACTCCAATGGGATTGAACGAATGTCTTCGCTGCTCGTTGATGTCGCTCACAAAAATCTTGTCTTCCCTGCGAATGGGGAAAAATGAATGTCTCCGTGTCCCCGGCTGTGGAACCGTGTTTCCGAACCTGTTGTTGAAGGAGAAAGGGTTTATCGACGGTCTCCGGCTGTCCTTGATCGTTTTCCGCTCTTCATCCGCAATAAATTTATCACAGGTCGTGTAAGGGATGAACGAATTCCTTCTTATCCCGGTGACAGTTGCGCGTCCGTCCATCGATGCGGTGTCCGGAATAGCGTCTTGACTTTCGGAAGCCTCCAGGAGGAGCAAGAACTTCATGCGCCTCGTTCTCATGTCACCGCACGCAAACGTCCCCCTTCTCTGAATGAGCCGGGTCAGAGGGAATGAGCCGTACCCGGAGTGGGATACCACACCCCAACTGTCCCGCCGTTGCGAGGGCAGGGCCTTAACCGAGGAGAATCTCCTCTGTTTGTTCACGAGCATGTCCGACGACTCGGAATTCCACTGAACCAGTGAGCGCAGCATCATGGATTTTCTCCTCAGCCTGGCCTCGTCCATCGTGTAATCGTAACTCAGGGTTCTCGAATCTTTAATCTTGCCCCCAACTCGCCCAGCACGTTTGATACTCGCCGACCGACGGATGTTGGGCAAGGAAGATGTCTTCAACCAATTGTCTTCACTGCGCAGGCGCTGTATCCGCGCCTGAATGACGCTGTAACGTTTGTGGGGGACGGGGGGCGAAGGCGTGTAACCCTCGCATTCTATGTCAATCTGCTGCTCCAAGGTCAACGGCTCGTTGGGCTTGCACGGAAAAATGGGCTCCGGGAGGTAATCCCCGCTGCTGCTCTGGTTGTCCATGAGCAGACTTCGCTCCGCTGCTTTAGAGTAAGCCGTGATTAAAGTCTGTGCGTAGCTCTTCTTCATCTCGTCCACGATAACCTGATACAGCTCGTCCCTGTCGTAGTTCGCCGACCTCTTATCGGGCACGAGAATCGCATACTTGTCGAGAATCTCGCAGTAGAACACACACGCCACGATCATCGAGAACAGGCCGAGGGCCATGACCACGGGGCCGACGTAAGAGCATATTTTCAGGGCATAGTACGTGACGTCACTGGGGGAACCGTTGTGAGGTAGACTCGAGTTCATCGCCGCAGTCGCGTTGTGACCATGGCCGTGGCTGGGGACGTAGCCGATGACGGACATTCCCGCCCCGGCAGCCACGGCGACCAGGCCCAGGAAGACGGTCACGGTCGTCGGGAGAAGACACGGCATTCGGACGACCTCCTTGACCGCCAGGCGTCTCCGATGTGGTCGTCGCTTTCTGGACCGACCGCCAAGACCGACGATTCTGATTTTGGCGTGTGATACGAACATACCGACCTGCCAACATGTGCCGTGACATTTAAACAACCGATGACGTCACACGGCGCTGGAAATGAGCTTTGTTCGTCATGAGGTTAACGTAGACGTAGGCGTGTTTGCTGTCTCGTTTTGTTTTTCATCTCCAAATTAAACAAATTAAATTATTTGTTTTAGTTCGTGGCTTTAGTTCGCACTCCATGATCCTCGAGCAGCCAAAAGTCAGTGCGACTTTCTCTTTGCTCAGTGGAGTTTTGTTTGGAACATTTCTTGAGAGCCGAATCGCAGTTATGAATTACCTGAAGGAATAGATGACAAAAATTTAAAAAAAAAAAAAGAGTTATAAATGACTGGACTTGTAACATAGCAGGCAAAGTATGAACGACATAACAAACATGAAATAACAACATGGCCGTGTAATGTTCTAAGTTCTAACGAACATGAGCTCAGTTCGCGGGGAGTTAACGAGCAATCAAATGAAGGTGGGTTGTTGGAGAGCTTAGGAAAGATTACAACTAAATATAATGAGATTGTAGGTTAATATTATCATTAAAATGGTAAAAAGGGATATTATTATTATTATTATTATTATTATTAGTGGTGGTTTTATATAGCGAGATACCCCAGCCTAGGGCTTGGCTCACCACACTTAACAAACATAATCATGAACTTAAAAATTAACATACATTAATTAAATAAAACAAAACAAAGTATTTTCACTCCACACATTCAAGAACTATGTACATGTCCAGCAGCATCGTTTATCGGTCAGATGGGGGAATCAGTCAGGATAGTAGAGTTTAAAGAGATGTGTTTTGAGTGATGTTTTGAAGGCTGTAACACACCAGGTAACCTATCGGCTTAAAGCGTTCCTGGGCAATCAGAACTATATTAAATGTGTAATTACTATTACTTTTTTAAATCACTAATTTAGCACCTTTTTAAAGATCTCAAGCTAAAGCCTCCTCCAGAATATGTAAGTTAGTAAGCTCCAAAATATTATAGGCTATTGAAAACGTCAGTTCCGCAATATTATAGGCTATTGAAAACGTCAGTTCCGCAATATTATAGGCTATTGAAAACGTTCGTTCCGCAATATTATATGCTATTGAAAACGTCAGTTCCGCAATATTATATGCTATTGAAAACGTCAGTTCCGCAACATTATATGCTATTGAAAACGTCAGTTCCGCAATATTATATGCTATTGAAAACGTCAGTTCCGCAATATTATATGCTATTGAAAATTCAGCTCCACAAATTCTATTGAGCTCTTAAAAAAAAAAAAAAACCCACAAAGTTTCACAAGCCCCCGGTAATAGTTTTCAAGTTTGAATAGTTAGGCTGAATTTGAACACAAAATGGCGTGACACTCAGGGGGAAAAACTCGTAAGATATAAAACAAGCGCTATGTAAGTATTCAATAACCCCCCCCTCCCTCCCCCGCCCCCACACCTTTGAATTCTTCAATTTTTAAATCCGTTACATTAACTTCGCTTTTGTTCGTGTGTTTATGAAAGGGTGGAAAAAAATCTTCTTACGATTAACTGACCGACTTCCTGTCAACCTATCGAGCTGAAACTTAGCACATAGGCTCGTTGCCGATGACAACACATTCTATCAAATTTTCATTTCCACCCGTACCCAAACCTCCCCAATAATTATTTTTTCCTGTTTTTTTTAAGGAAGATGCAGGTAATATGATAGTACTGATTTCACGAAATAAAATTCTCGATTCCCGCGCTAAATGAGATTCTTGGAAAAAAATCGCAAGTGCATTTGGTGCGTAATATTTTCTTTTGCTTTTCTGGAATAGTTGGTGAAATACATGTGCCGTGTAACAGCGGGTGGGTCAGTAGAATATTAATATAAAAACATGACGTTGGGAGAACAGCGGTTGCTGAATGCAAGAGACATGCCAGGAAGTCCAGCTCTGACTCTGCTCCCGGAGATGCGCCATCATTCACCTGCACCTACTGCACAAGAGAATTTCGTGCCAGAATCGGCCTCATTAGCAATCTGCTCACCCTCAGACAGAACCAGCACAAACTCTGATGATTAAAGTGGTCATGGTCGACTGCCGACTGACGAACAATCAATATAAAATAAAATAATAATAAATGCATAAAAATATGATTTATACCAAAAACTTTGTTTTTAAGGGTTGTCTAATTAGACAGCGAATTACTGAATTTGATCAAGTCATGGGATTTTCCATCAACATCACAATATAAATTATTAAATAAGTGCTTCAGTGATAGCATGGTAGCTTTACACATTAGCGTCACGGGGCTACGAATGTGCATCCCATCTAATTTGCGAGAACTGTCTAATACCGAAACCAGTCACCGCATCAAGACAGCAAACAACAGCCTGAACAGCCCATTCAAGTTTTAATGAGTGAGCTGCGCATGGAATTTTACATTTTGCTTACTTTATTTTTTCATTGACATTTTTCTGCCCACCAACAGAGACGTTGCGTGACTTTAGAAGCGCCCCCCCCCCTTCCCCGACCACCCAAATCACCTTTCGGCGTTTGCACACCTACCCAAAGTTGATCGTTTAGATTTTATTCCATATTCCAACTTTGGATCATTTACACATCCGAGGCGCCTGTAGCCGCATGACTTGCCGTTCCCACGCGACTGCTCTGCCTACCACACATGTTGGCAGCATTTTCTTATGACAGTATTCACCATTTAAAAAAAAAAACCAAACTTAAACCAGGAATGAGATAATTTGATCCTAAGTCGGCCAATATTTTATCCATTTTAAAATAAGATCTTTAAGTCATTATGTATTTTAATATTTCCACACTGTTGTTACATAATTTCTCGAAGAATTTTTTGAAATAATTAAATTTTAATTTGTATATATTTTAAAGTAGTTTATATGTTAAAAAAAAAAGTGGTTTATTAAATTTGGAGTCTGCTTAGACTGTTAGCTGAAGAACGCTTTATGCTGAAACGTCCTTATCTTGTTGTCCTCTTCTCTAATTCAAGCTTCCACATACCTCGTTTTGCTATTTCATTCATTTACTAGGCTTCAAGGCAGTCCTTTAATTTATAGTTTAGAATTTGCGCCTACTTTGGCCTTTTGTGAGATCCGGCACCTTTTTGAAGAGATGTCTAAAAGACAAGGCTCGTGGCAGGTCAACACAGTGAACTTGTTCACGCAGAGTCTTTTTCGATCGCTATCAAAGATTTATTACTGGATTACAAGACATTAAAACGAACTTTCCGATAGAAGTGATGTCACCGACGCGATCAAATCTTACCATTAATAAATGTACGGGTTTTGACACACAACAAAATTAGAAGTAAAAAAATGTTCGGAATAAAGTTGACAAACGCGATAAATAGATAATTTGTATTAATAATATAAGTTTTGAATATACGACGATCGATGTGTGCAAACAATAAAACAGGGAGTGAAGATCTGTGGAGGAACCACAAAATAAATATCAATATATCCGAGTTTTTGTTTTATTATTTAAATGTTTAACTAGAAATTGGATCTTATGTCATTGGTTGGACCAGTACTATCCTCTGCCCTACTCCTACCGTTTCAGAAACTATATCTTATTTTGCAGCCCATCGAGGTTTTCTACGTCATTTCATTTAAATAATTCAAGATGAAAAGCACAACACCCCTCACCCCTCCACAAAATAAATAAATAAATAAATAAATAAATAAATAAATAAATCTGTTGCGTTTGACTCAAGATTCCAGCGCAGGGAACTCGAATACCTGACACGCGTCTAATATTTGTACACATTTCACACAGGACAAGTATGTGGTCTTAAATGTTGTGATGGGAATGCCCTTAGGATCACAATAATGCTGGAGGAAGTTAAAAAGTCACAAACTCCAAGTGTAGGTTATGGTCAAATATCACACCATTATGCCTTCACTATCACACCATTATGACTTCACCATCACACCATTATGTCCCTGGCCTCTTCATTAATTCTCTAGGTATCCGCCTATGTTATCATCTGAAAACACCACTGCTCCGTCTCTTTCATTCTACTGTTGTTTACACAATATAAGATCATAATATTAACTCTTCTGTTGTTTACACAATCACAACATCACAACATTTAAACAATCATGACATTATGGATCATTACGTGATGTTTCTACAGCCAGGGAAAATGAATGCATTTATGTTAAGCAGAGAATCTATAAAATAATTGCCACTATAATTAGAATTAAAAGCGCCCCCCGCCCCCACAATGTGTAATCATCATCAAGGGAGTGGTAAAAACGAACAACAGGAAGCTTGTCGTCGGAAAAGGATAATCAAGATTAATTATTTTACCCCCCCCCCCCACCTCTTTTTCCTTGTTTCAAATATTCGTCTTGTTTAATACATGTCTAGTGAGCGTGTCTCCACGCATGACCGGAGGTGTGTGAGTTTGGGAAAGTTTTTGTTTGTCAATGGCTGCCATCGGATTCCCGAAGTCTTGTATCAAAGAACGCTTTCCATTAAAAAGAAACAAACGTCCCACAAATACTGTAGAGTCCAGCTTCCAACGTGCCACCATGAGAGTTCATTTGATAAATCTTGTTAGAATAAGTGTTTGAGTGCATTGATAGTTACATAATGTGATTCAAGAAACACTCACTGTATTAATTAAAGATAACAATTAATTTATCAGCCAATAATCTCTACCTTAAATAAACTGTCGATGATTGTATAGTTATTGTCTTGCCGTTTTGAGAAATAAACAGAGGAACATTTTATAGTAAACACGTTATATGTTACATCCCGGTTTCTATGTGCGTTAATGTTACAACCTGATTTCTATGAGCATTAATGTTACAACCTGGTTTCTATGTGCGTTAATGTTAAAACCTGATTTCTATGTGCATTAATGTTACAACCTGGTTTCTATGTGCGTTAATGTTACAACCTTATTTCTATGAGCATTAATGTTACAGCCTGGTTTCTATGTACATTAATGTTACAACCTGGTTTCTATGTGCATTAATGTTACAACCTGGTTTCT